GTTACGTTATATATACGTTTATAAACCTAAACTAAATCACCGATACACTTATGCCGGGAATACTGAAACGTTACTCAATTTTAAGTCGTGCTTAAATATCGTGCCATCTCTGTCATTTTACAAAGAATTAGTGGTGACAGAACTATACTTAACCTCTTATCTGCCGGCATATGAGACACAATAGAAAATACATTGTGTCTCGCATATATCTACCAGGGGTTAAGCGCGACTTAAAATTGAGTAGCGTTTCAGTATTCCGACATTAGACTCAATAACTCAAGTAGTAATAATATCATAACTGTAACATAGACAGGTTGTCTGTCTATCAATAAAACCAAGGCAGTGCTTAGATCCATCGAGACAGGTACAATAAATCAAAGTAACTGTTTGTACAACAGTGAATTGATTTACAATCCGTGTGAGCTGTCATCACAAAAGATTAATAATATACCTAAGTAGGAATAAGTCGAATTACTTTTTAGGGAGTTACCACTTTAGGAGTCCACCAATGCGGTGGAAAGTAAATAATATTTAAAATATTAAATAAACTGTTTATTAAAATATAATCTGATGTGAAGACATTTTTGCATTGGAAAAATTATGACGTAAGAAAACAAAAATATTCTATTGGAAGAAGAAAATACTAAAGAAAAGAGCTGAGCTAACTAATAATAAAAAGTATGAATATGAGGAAAATACAAAATATGATATAATTAAATAATGAAACGTAGGTGAGCAGCCTACAACTTTTTCAAAATTAAGTCATTTAGTTATAGTGAAGGCTGATTTGAGCAAGTTCCGAGCTGGTAGTTAGGGAAAAACTGCTACGAAAGGCGAAAAATAGAGAATGTTCGTATCAGATGTCAAAACACACTTTGGAATTTGGATCGCTGAGCAATGAGCGTTTGTAGATAGTCATAATCGGTTAAAGAACAATAACATTTTCAATTTTTAAGTTTAAGTTCAAGAGTCAATATTTAAGTGTGGGAGAGCCATGCTTCGGCACGAATGGGCCGGTTCGACCGGAGTGATACCACGGCCTCACAGAAGACTGACGTGAAACAACGTTGTGTTGTATTTCTTCGTGTGAGTGAGGTTACCGGAGGCCCAAATACCCCCTTTCCCCAATCCCTAAATCCTCAACAATTCCCAAATTCCTAATCTAAAAGGCCGGTAAGGCACTTGTAACGCCTCTGGTGTTCCAGGTGTCCATGGGCGACGCCGATTGCTTACCATCAGGTGATCCGTCTGCTCGTTTACCGGCTAATCCCATAAAAAAATTCATTACTCTCGATAATACCTGCCTAAGGTACGTTATACAAGTTCAATCCAGATGATTTATGTATAAAAATGAATTGCTGTTCGTGAGTGCCGCTAAAACTCAAAAACAGCTGGACGGATTCTAATAAAATCAACATTAAACAAGATTCAGTTTCTTAATTTCTTGAAAAATCGTGAACAGCATCGAAAACTTCGACGGAACAAAATTAATAATAGGTAGATAGTTAGTGTTGTTTCCCCTTTGATCTGTCTGTAAAGTTTAAATAAAATCAGCTCGGCAATTCCGAAGATTAGATTGCACCGACAGACATATTAAAACTTAGTTTTAGTGTTTTCATTTCAGTATTTACTGTTTGCGCTTAATAGACGTGATTCAATGTTGCAGACTAATAGATAAATAAAAGAAATACAATAAATGAAATTCGTCATAAGTTGCTAAATCTAGACAATTTGTACGACCATCCAATCATACGATATTTTCCGATAAAATACTCATATTCAATTTTCGACGGTTTAGAAGTTAAAATTTTCATATTTTTTATTTCTTTTAGTTATTTTGTACGTTGGTTTTCCTTTGTATAATTTTAAAAAGGCTTGGAGCGTTTAGTACTATTTATCCTATGTAGTTTGGGTAACCGACTTCCATCGTTGCATTGTTACTTAAATTACGCAAAACACTATTTAGAACCAGACTCCTACAAGACTATGTGAATACTATAAGATTATTAACCACTATGTATTTTGATGGAAAAGTAAATATAATTTATGATTAAAAATATATCATAAAATATATTAAAAAATATCTTATCGGTATAAATACCGTTGATTTTCACTTATGCGTACTATTCACTAAGCAAAAAACAATGTAGGTAGTTTTACCTTTATGCAAACTAGGCACAGGTACCTACAATGGCCAGCAGGTCGATCTACAAGCTGTCAATGTCTGTCATTGTATTTTAAATTTTATACCAAAACGATTGAGTTCAAAATCTAATAAAGTTTAATAGAAAGGTAAGTTGATATGGTGCTGGTCACTGCACTACTTTTTACTAAAATATTTTTTATCACAATTTGAAATTTTCATTTAACATTCTCGTGACGATATTGTAGTTAATAATAGCACAATTATTTCATAACCTTTACGACCAATAATAATAATAATTTGGACATTGTTTTATACTCTGATAATCTACTAATTACAGTTTAACTGCTATTAATATGTTTTGAAATTTTTATCAAAACATTAAGATTTTGATCGTGAAGGCAATTAACACGTCGTTCAGGTTATTATGCATTAGATCTATAAGAAAGGTGTTAAAATATAGTACTTATAATGTACAGTGTAAAGTTTAGTATAGATTGTCTCTGTAGAATGAGCGTACAGTTGGTAATAAATATATAAAACATTTTATTATATGAACCTATACTTAATCCACCTAACGGGTTACCGGGGCTCCGGCTCGACGTGCAGGAGAAGGAACGGGGTGGTTTTTAGTCAGTAAGAGTCTGACACTCCCTCCCGCCTCACCCAGGCGGGGGCAGTCATTCGATGATTTTACCATCTTAAAAAATAAAATACTTAATCCATAAATTTTGTTGATTTATGGTAGACATAAAAAAATATGTGAAAGAAACGAATAATAATTCTTGTTCAAAAAAAAACTGACTTTATACCCCTCTTTTTTGAACTCGGTTAATTAATATACTAGCATCTTTTCCTAAGTGTAACAAACACTTTTCTGAAAAGCGCTTCAAAATAGGTTCAGTTAATCGTGAGATAATCGCTTACAAACATACATGCAGGTCAAATTGACAATCTCCTTCGTTTTTGAAGTTGGTTATAACCATTTTAAGTCGTTTCAATTCTCATTTTTTAACAAATCTTAAAGGTACTTTTAATTTGGCCCTTCTTTAATATATCGTCAATCTGGTCACTATAATTATGTCCGACTTGTTTTTTTTAAGGGGGGCAAATCATCTAATGACTGCTCCCGCCTGAGTGAGGCGGGAAGGCTCTGTATATTTCTTTCGTTGTATGTTATTATTTGTCGTTACATTGTGTATTTGTAATAAGCATAGAAACTACTCAATATACATATATATATTTTTACCGACTTCAAAAAATGATTAGATACTATGTTCGGCTGATTGTTTTTTTTTTCGCCGATTATTCCGCAATGACTGCCTCGTTGGCCGAGTGGTCGCAATTGCGACTGCCGAGCAAGGGGTCTCGGGTTCGATTCCCGGGTCGGGCAAAGTATTACTGGGTTTTTAAAAATTCTCAGTAGTAGCACGGAGTCTGGAACTATGCCCGGTATATGGCAATTGGCTCACCCCCTATTACATGGGACTCATAACATAAATAGTGAAAAGTGGGTGTTACATTGTACAGTGGTATAATGTGCACCTCTGCCTACCCTTTCGAGGATAAAAGGCGTGATGTTATGTGTGTATTCCGCAATTAGTGAACGATTTCCAAAATTCTTGTTTTGTTTGAAAGTGTATACTTCCGAGATTGTCCCATTTTTATGAAGTCAGGATCTGATGTATGATCTCACCAGTGAATACAATCATTTCGAGTAACGTTCAACTTTGTAATTGCTTAAGTGTTCTGTTGGCAAAGCCACTGGAGAAAAGCTAGTTAATAATATTATGGCTCGTCTAATTTGTCATTCATAGATCTGACATTAGGGGGAAGTGCTATGTTATTAATATTTGAATGGAATGAGTTAATTGAAGGCAAACTCCTGCCACATGGAGTTGAGGAAAGCAAGCCATTGACAATATGGAATCTATTTGTAATGTTTGAGTGATATTACTGCAACATTCATCAGTAAATTAGTTTTAATTGGTTCCCCATAGCAAGCAATCAGATATTTATCATACATACTTAATATCACGCCTATTATCGCCGAAGGTGTAGGCATTAAAGTCCATATAACACTCACTTTTCACAATTTATTTTTTATGAGTCCCATGTAATAGGGGGTGAGCCTATTGCCATATACCGGGCACAATTACAGACTCCGTGCTACTACTGACATTCTTTTTTAACCCAGTAGTAGGTATACGAGACCGAGACCGAGACCGAGGCCCGGCAGTCGCATTTGCGACCACTCAACTAACAAGGCAATCAAGAGAGGCAGATATTTATTTATCGTCAAAATGTGTTTACTCAATTAATTAATATGTCACTGTCGTACTCAGGGGTCATTTAATGGCTACTTAACCCAACCCTTAACTCCCTAGCAACCTAGCAACTGTTTTCGTACTAAAACTGTCACGAAGTACTAGTTTAAGTAACTTTTTTTTTATTGAACATTGCCATACACCATAGTGTGTGGAAAAAAGATATGACTTTTTTCCTAAGTCGCTGGTACGGTTACAAACATACAATATTACATACACATGACACCCAGACTCGAAACAACAATTTTTGAACCACACATATGGAATTTCTCCGTACGGGAATCGAGCTCGCTACACGTTGCGCGGCAGCCGGTTGCCCAGCCACCGCGTCAACCGGTTACCTTCTTGCTATTGAATGTATGTCTCCGAGTTCAGCAGTCAGTTCAATTATAATTGTGAAATTCCAATCCACAGAGCAAGCGTGGTAATCAATACTAATTTCTTCTATGTATTATGTAATATGCATTTGTTATTAGTACGACAATTGTAGCCTGATATTGAAAGTCCCTTATAGAATTTACTACTTTCTATTTTCTAATCTCCACTTCTCTTGTTCCAGCATCTTCACAGGCGCCTCCAGGCTTCAATCTCCCGGCGATTATGCATGTCGATCGGAACTGGAATGTGATGCCCACGGAACCGGTAGGATCCTTCGTCACCAAGGTCTACAGTGAGAGTAGTCTTCCTGTGACCTTCGGCTTGGAGACCACTGAGCCGCCAGTACCGTTTAGGATCGATCCAATCACTGGGGTTGTGACTGTGAATGATACGCTGATTGATAAGGTAAGGTTTGAATTTATTTTATTATACAGGCTGTCTAGTTAATAGTGCACCATATTGTAAGAGATGATAGCTGGCATGAATACCTACCTCTACCTAAACAATCCAATATATTATGTTCAGCGAAAATGTACTGTTTCAAAACTATACAACATTTTCACAAATATCGCAAACTCACTACTTTGACACAAATCTTTTATCATTTTTGCATAAAATTGTTTTTTTAGCATATTTTGTACATCAAATTATTCGTGGATATTGGTAGGTATTCTCTGTTTAATGATAGGTTTATTTTATATCAGGAATAAGAGCGTTTTAAGGAAATAGCTAATAGCTTATTGATTCAAGAGTGCTCTTGAGTAAAGTAGTTTAATCAAGTCTTTCTCAGATATAATTGATAGGTAGCTCATTAATGTGCGGTTATGAAGTCTACCTAAATCGAGTCAACAGATAATTTGTTTCCTCACACCACCATCGCGATATTAAAAATAAATCTAGAAGAAGGCTAAATGTGTGACAGGAATCAATTTTTAAGACACATAACATAACATCACGCCTTTTATCCCCGAAGGGGTATGCAGACGTGCACATTACAGCACTTAATGCCACTGTATAATGTAACATCCACTTTTCACTATTTATGTTATGAGTCCCATGTAATAGGGGGTAAGCCTATTGCCATATACCAGGCACAATTTCAGACTCCGTGCTACTACTGAGATTTAAAAAAAAAACCCAGTAATACTTTGCCCGACTCGCCAATCGAACCAGAGACACCTTGCCCTTGCAAGAGTACTCAAAAATATGTTGTTATATTGGATAATTCATCGCAAACCGTGACCGAAAGTCAATATTTTTAAGAGCCATTTTTAAATCGCAACACTAACTTTCGATTTATTTTATGTCAGATTTTTAAGAAGGTCATCTGTCATACGTGTGGCACATCTGTCATATTAATCTTTGAAGACGTGCTTACTTGTACAACACGTGTAAACTTAGTAAAATATACTAAATAGGTATACTTAACATAGGTTATTAAAAAACTTAAAAACATATTTCTTTAATTTTATTGTTCGTTTTCTCAAAATGACTCAAAATTTTTACAAATGAATGTTTGTAAAGTGTAAATGGTGTTTTTATAAAATACTAGCTTCTGCCCGCGACTTCGTACGCGTAATCCCATTTTTTCCCGTCCCCGTTCGTGATTTTCGATAAAAAGTAAAAAAAAAAATGTTGGTTAAAAGTATCCTATGTCGGTCTCCTGGCTCTAAGCTACCTCCCTACCAATTATCAGCCAAATCTATTCTGCCGTTCTTGAGTTATAAGTGGTGTAACTAACACGACTTTCTTTTATATATATAGACTAGCGGACCCAACAGACGTTGTCCTGCATTTCCACTTGAATGTATAAAAAAATTCAATCAAATTAGTTCAGCCGTTTAGGATAAATAACCTAAACAACGATGGCAGCGCCATCTGCCGGGCTGATTTGTGAATCTAAACCATTCCCAGATCCCATTGAACACACACAAAAAAATTCATCAAAATCGGTCTAGTCGTTTGAGAGAAGTTCAGTGACATACATACTCACATAAGAATTATATATATAAAGATATGACAAAGGCGAAAAGTCTCTGTAACAAGATGTGAAGTAACCTATATACCTGCACTGTACTAGGCACAATTCCAAAAATTTTAACCCCATAAACAGTATAGAGGAAGGAAGGGAGTAGGGAGGGAGCCTTTAGCTAAAACATGGTGGTTGGTAAAAAATGGAAATGGGGACATTTTGTTCCCAGTTTCATTTTTCATCAGTCCATTTTTTGACTCGATAACAACACTTGTGAACATTGCAAGAACTTACAAGAAGCAATAATAATAATATATGCTTTATATTATTATTATTGCTACACCACAGAATCGCATTATAGTATAATATTAACAAAAATAGTGTACAATGGGCGGTCTTATCTATCTACTGAGAAAATTATTCTCGAATTTTTCAAGTACAAAATAGGAAGGTGGGTAAGATGAATCCATAACAACTATAGTTTTCCAAGAAATAAATCAAATGGGTCTCCCACAAAGGCAACTTGATGCTGCTGCCGGCAACTGTCATCAATGTCTGACATCTTATTTTACGCGACGCCAAGGGGTATCTGTGTACCTACTACTCAAGTGGATAAACTACTAATTAGTTTATTTTAGCGGATGTTTGTTTTAGCGGAGCCGAAACTCATATCATGAGTGGTCAGTGAATAAAATATGGTGAACTTTAACTTTTAAGTCATTACCGCCATCTTTCTATTGTTTTTTTTTAACTAGTCAAGTGAAATAACCATGCAATAATAGTAGATACTAGTCATCATAATCAAATATTTATTGTATTCTCACTGTGTTATACATGAACTATGTATGTGTTTATTAAATGATACTGTAAAACATTGTTTTTAAAAGTAACGATGGAGTTTCTTTCTCGTTTTTTCCTTTCAAATCTACACTTTAGAACGAGCACCTAGCTTCACTAACAGACAGGCGGACTGACAATTCAATTTTTTACGCTTCAGAAGTGCCTAATTAAGGATTAATTGAAATAAATGCTTTGACTTTGACTATGTATAAGTATATACTATAATAAGAAAAAAAATCTGTATAAAAATAGTATTTAAAAATGAAATAAAAGCAAGCTTTTTGACAAAACTATAATTTCTTTTCACGTACCTACATAAAGTTCCAATAAATTGAAATCTGGACACATTGGCAGGTGAAATAATGGGTGTCGTAATTGCGTTTAGATTTACTGATCAATACCGTCAAGAGGTAAAGGGTAAAATCTAAAAGAAAATGTGGGTATAAGGCTACATCTATCTATACATACCTATAATAAAACTGTAGAAGAGTGAATTCTGTACATTCAAATATAAAAAATTAGGGTGTTACTGGATAGGCACCGAATCCAAAATTGTGCTCAAATAAATTTTTTGTCTATCTGTCTGTCTGTATGTTCACACATCACACAAAGACTACCAGTCCGATCACGATGAAATTTAGTATGATTATATTTTAATATTCTGAGCATAACACTGGGTACTTTTGCTCCCGAAAAAGTATGTAACTTAAAGTGAAATTTGGAACTAAATTAAATAATGATTTGGAGCAAGGTGAAGCCGCTGGCCAAAATTAGTATAATATCATAAGTTATAGATAACTTAAATTTAGATCGTCGGTAATAATTATTATGGGGTTATTTAACCTAACTAAATATGTTCTAGCGTTGGTGATACTTGGGAAATTTAATTCCTGATTCCTACATTAGTACACATATAATAAATAAATAAAAATATAGATATATACATCACACGCTATGGAGTTAAAGGTTAAAATCAGACCATTTATACATATTCATTTCATTAGGTACCTGTAAACTCTATTGAAGCGACTATCAATAAATAAATAGATTAGCAAATAATTCTATCATTTCAACCACGTTTCTTGTCCAATAAAATCAGAAAACAAAGAGGAAACTAAATCTTATTTACTGTTGCCAGCGTGTCCAGACGAAAATTGTAGCGTAACTGTGCTACCATTAATCTCGCTGTCGGATACTGGGGCCAGAAAATTTCTCAGTTCAGTCAATTTACAGCTGAAACACTGAAACTGTCCACCCTGCCTTTACAAAGTTCTTTACTGAACTTTCAGCAGGAGTATTTCGTTTTAAAACTAAAATGAAAATCGCTTTTTAAAATTCCTTAGGTGCATTTTTAAATTATGTTATAAAAGGATTTTAAATATGAATTGCTAAATAAAAAACTCGTAAATTAAGTTGTAACATTTTTCAATTCGATGCCTTTTTTCATACTTTTTTATACTTTAAAATATGTTTTAGAAATTTAATTTACTGAGTACTTACATATTTAAAATTTATTTTGACAAAATGATAAATTATTCTGTGTCAAGTCTGAGATAAACGACAAATTATTTTTATAAATAATAGAAAGGCCAATTGATAGAAAATTTCAAAATATATTTTTATAAATGTGTCATTAATCAATGCTATGTAGATTTAGGACGAATTGATCGAGTTTGATAGCTTCAGATTGAAATACAAATAGAATTGAGAATGAAACATGATAACCACTTAACATTTATAGAAATACATCTGTTATATAGTGGTCCTACTAGTAGTATTGGTTGTGTACTGGTACATTGCCTCTTTATAACGGTTTGATTTTAAAAATCACCTGGTACTTAAAGGTTGACTGGGAGACAATGCCCAAGGCATTAAGTCCACCTGTACACACTTGTTGTGTCGCGAAAAACCTAACGATGAGTGCTCCCGCCTGGGTGAGGCGGGAGTGTCAGACTCTTACTGACTAAAAACCACCCCGTTCCTTCTCCTGCACGTCGAGCCGGAGCCCCGGTAACCCGTTAGGTTCTCCGCGACAAGATTGTTGTGTACGATTTTAAAAATATTAAGCATAATACAAATTAGTTTATAGAATAATTAAATGTAAACATAAAATGGCTTTGATGTTTTGAACATGAATTATAATAATTTACTTACCTACTGTTTCAGTTTTATACAAACAATTCAATTTTGATTAACGTAATGGAGATTTGGAAGTTTAATACATGCGGTTGGCGTCGTTACTACCTAATTATAATTTTGATATTATATAATGTGGTATTTCATATTTATAGTTATGAATTTTGATACTATCGCTTAAAAAATAATAATAATAATAATAATAAGCCCGCAGGGCACCTTGAGGCGAGGTGACGGGCATTAGCGATCCCGCGGGCTACCATCATCCCGAGTGCTCCAGGGAGAAGTCACCGTTCCTTCTTCTCCGGCTTGCCTTAATTGGCTGGCTGGAGTGAACGATGACAAGGAACAGGTCTCCCACCTCTGGCTTGCCTTCATTGGCCGTCCAGAGTGGAGTCGCGAGAGCAGTGATCCTGCTCGGAGGGTAAGAAACTATTCGTAAGTCGCGAGTGGGCCA